TGTGGACTGTGCCGCTGTCTTCGAAAAAAGTTGGATCATTTGCCGCAGAGTCCCGAGGCTTTAAAGATTTCTTTAAGAGATAGTTATGCTGCAGGTGTGAAGAAAGAGTGACTCATTTCTCATTCGAAAGGATCGCCGTAAGAAATAAACCTTTAATTTCTTAGCTTAGCCGCACCCGTTCGCAAAGTTGAAGGCGCACAATCGTCTTGGCCCAAGTCCTTTGAGATAGTGCACCTGGTCATCCATGAGAGCTTTAACGGGGGGCACATTAAATATAAAGAACGGTTTATTCTAGGTAAGAGAGGCAATAGAACACTGGCGCGGCTTGTTATGTTGAAGATTTTCCATACTCGGTTGGTAAAGAAACGGAGACATCGTTCCTCTAGAAATACGTATCTATGGCTTTGAGCCGTTCTTCTTGAAATTTCTCTAGCCTAAAAGTCGCGCAAACTTGCCTTAAAACCTCGTCGTAGATCGCTGTTGTCCGAAAAGTTGACAATAAAGACTCGCTGTTCAAAACAAGAAAACCACTAACCCTAGCCAACCAGAATTCACGAAAGAATCGACAAAAAGGGTGAATCAATAAAAAGTCATGTTAGTGGCTCTACGTCTAACGCCTTCTCTTGCAGTAGAGGACTGAAGCAAGGCTGTGTCCTCACTACCACACTTTTTGGGATCTTCCTCACCATGCTCCTCTCATACGCCTTCAAGGACTGCATCGAAGGAGTCTACATACACACCAAACACTCATGGCAAGCTGTTCAACATCGCCCACCTCCGCACCAAGACGAAAGGCACAGAGAAGCTCATTCGTGAGCTGTTCTTCGCCGACGATGTAGCCTTGACCTCACACACGGAAGAAGGCTTGCAGCAGCTTCTCAGTCGCCCTGCACATGTGTTCAGGCAGCTCGGGCTGACCATCAGCCTACGAAAGACCAATGTAATGGCATAAGGCACAGATTATCTCCCAAATATCGCCATAGGCGTGGGCACAACCTGTAAAGCATGGATAGTTTCACCTATTTGAAATCTTCAATTTCCAACTCGATCTCCATTGCCACAAAGATTAAAGCAGGATCGGCTGGGCCAGGTGAAGAGAATGCACCCAGGCCGCATCCCTAAGGATCTTCTGTTTGGCGAGCTGATAGAGGGATCAAGACCGATAGGGCGCCCACGCTTAAGATACAATTATGTGCGCAAAGAGACTTGAAGGCCTGCAACATCAACACAAACACTTGGGAAACATATGCAGAAGTTCGCTCGGCTTGGCGCATCGCTATCAGATGGGGCGTACTTGAAGTTGAGTAGACGAGGACTGATCATCTCCCTGAAAAGAGACACAGGAGGAAGGCATTATGTCAGCAACCTCAGTAAGCGTCCTTTTCACTTAAAACACCTGCAGGAGGGACTGTCATTCGCGTGCCAGACTCTACAGCCACTCACGAAGATGTTTTAAAAAACAAATCCAACGGACGCTACCCCATCGTCTTCCAAAGACGGACAGATAACGACTAGTATTACAAAGTGTTACGGCTGGTCGACGCCCAGCCGTCGCCTGGGTTCCCATACGGGACATCTTAGTTTTTCGTGCATGCGCGGTGGCGGCATCCCCGAACGGTGCCACGAGGCCGCCGAGTTAAAACCCCTTTTTCTAGTTCAGTTATTTGATTTCTTGGTCTTAATGTTTGGTTAAACAATGTAAAATTTGTGCAAGTTTTCTCAAAGCCTTCGTGAAGGATTTCGGATCCAAGTTTCATATTTCAAATAGTTGGTCACCGTTCACGGCAATGCAAATAGTAACCGCAATAGTAACAGTAGCTGCACTTTTAACTGTAATAGTAGCAATAGTAGCAGTAACAGCACTAACAACGGCAATGACAGCACCAGTGGCAGTGGCGGTGGCAGTCGCAGCCGCAGTCGCAGTCGTAGTATCAGTCGCAGTCGCAGTCGTGGTCGCGGTCGCAGGTGACAGGTGGCAGTAACAGCGGCAGTCATGGTTAATTAATTGATTTATGTTTATGAATATTACTCATGCTATTTTGTCTATTTACTAAATCCGTCCATCGTTCCTTTTCAAAGATCCAACGGAGGATGCGAAAGTGAAGATTCCTTATCCACTCATCATTGGTGCTTCCTGTGGCGTGATACTTGCCCTCGTGCTCGTCAGCCTTTGTCTCGTTCGCTACAACCGATATCAAAAGAGACTTCACGAACAGCGTGTTTTAAACAGGATGCCTGCTAAAGTTCCTTCCCCTAAGCCAGAGAATTACGAATTAAAAGTGCAGTCTAAGGAGAACACTGTCAGTTACGAAGAGTTGGGTATCTGGAAAGACTCCAGTCATTACGAGAAGTTGCACTTTTCCAAAGGAGGAGCTCTTAACCAGGAAGTAGGCATCGTCAATACGGCTTCTGATTACCAGGAAATCGGCAAACCAAATGATTATGGCCACTACCAGGAAATCGAAAAGGCAGGCGGCCCCGAACAATACCAGGAGATATGCAACTTTAAGAGAGCTGGAAAATAGTGAGCGATAAAGGTGTCTTAATTTTAAAATGGCCTCTACAAAGACGAAATTTTTTTTCTTCATCGCAGCTCTTGAAAGAGGTCTCAATGGGATTAACCTTAAGCTGTAAAACAGGTACAAAGTCGGTAGTTAGGAGTTTAAAAAATTGCAAACTTAAACCGTTTTTAGTCTTAAAATGACCGTTGAAGCTTTTCTTTTAATTGCAAAGCAAGGAGTTTAATCGTTAGGCCATAAAATGGCTAAAACTTTTAACCGTAAGCTGCGAAAGCCGTCATCCAATTAGGACCTATTGGAAATGACATAAGAACCACTTTGCTGCCATTTATAAAGTGCAAAGTTACTTGATTTTTCTGTTAGCAAGGCTTTCCACTTTTATATCATTTTTGTTTTATTTAAACAGCCTTTAGTTAATTTAGCTGAGCAGTTAAAACTATTTCGTGATCGAAGATGTAATAATGTAGCGGATTCCATTTTCCAATTTTTAATACCCCTGTTATACAAGGGGATTTTTTTTGTTCTAAAGCAGAGCGCTGATATAAAAAGGAATCCATCATTTCCTTTATGTTTTTCGACAGTAAGGGGGAGCACCTGTAATTTCTACTTCATAGGTTTGATTATGCTAAGGATAATTAGTATTCTTTGTTATTGCCCGAAGCGTAGCTGAGTCAGAGGAGGCTGATTTAAATGACAAGCTTAGGGTTTCGCGCTCTTTAGCCAATAATTTTTACGCAAACGATATAGTGAGCTTTGCTTTTGTTATTGTATAACCTTTCAGCCAGTAACCTTCGCATTTTGCATACTGATATTTTGCTGAATAAAATTACAGTTTCTGTTTAAAAATAATTCCTCTATTTTCGATGGTGTTTCTCAGGTAGTGAGGATATTAAAAAAGGGAGATTGGGGGATGGGAAAATTAAAAGGGAAATTGAAAATGGGAAATTACTTATATTATCTTTTAATTTTATGTTTATCATGCGGAATACAATTTTTTGTTCATTATCATTCATTATCGATATCCACGCTTTCTTTCCAGAAGGATCAGAGACAACATCTAAGGAACGGAAAAAGTTGATTACATACATTGCACCTTAAGAATGCTTTAAAACCAAATTTTATGCTGCGCACCAAATTCGACGAGGATCTGTTTCGGCGGATCTTACACAACATTTTACATTTCTTTCTCAATATCAGACCGATAGAACTAAATTTCCAGCAATGTCATTGGGAGCAAAACAGTGCTGTCATTATGGCACGAAATTTTGCAAATACCACACCCAATTATGCTAATGTTTCATTGCATCCCATCTCAAAAAAAAACGAGCCAACCAAATTTTATCACGAAGCCCCCCATGGAATGGTGTTATCTGAGAATTTTGAAAAATGCCCACCTATTGAGTAAACTCGATATCGAAGCCTTATCGCAGAAAATGGCAGCGCACACTGGGATCTGTAATAATTGAATAAAGGTCTCCATAGTAGTTTGACGAATATGAAAGGCGTTGAGTATTTAACAACATAGTGAATGCGAACATGAAGTAATTAGTTTTCATGTCAGACATGATCCGAGAGAATGGATGATGTTTCAGAAAAATAATCAAAAGTTTGAGCGATAATTACCTTTCTCCAAATAGTCTAACTCTAGTTTACGACCTTCAAATTTGAATTCGTCTTTGGGAATGCGGGGATCGAAAAAGCATCTAAAACCTCCATTAAACCTGTCACGCTGCATAAAAAAATAACTAGGTATCCACTCTTTAGTATTCTCGAATGGAGGCTCGATAGGCTTCAGTGGCTATCACAAGATGTGTCAGTGTCTGCGCACAGCTCACTTCACCTTTAAAATTATAAATTTGCATAGCAAATTGTAACTATATTAGTCATCAATATTCCTTGGTCAAACAAGGCCTGTTATTCTTATGGTCTAACCCAGAATATTTTCAAGCAAACATCTCTATCTACCAGATCTCATGCCAAGTACTCTTCATCGAGAATCCAATGCGTAGGATTTAAAAAGGTCCAAACACTTACATGCCAGATTATTTATGCTGTGTACTTTGTAGACTAATGATCTTATTTTTGTATTCTGCGAGCTGATCAAAGTTTAACAAATTGGTTCGGATTCGTCGTTGTGCAGCTGTCCTTCTCCGTCACTGAGTTATTCAAATCCTGAATTGTTTACATTTAGGTAGGTTACTTGGCTACTTCGTTTGCACAGGTGATCACTTTACAATAACGATCATTGAGAGTCTTAATGTTAACAGCAAGAAAAGAACCAAAACAATAGCGGTTTACCACGAAGCGAGGAAACAATAAAACCTTTGTATCTCGAGTAGTCACTCAAATCTCCAGTCGTTTCATTGGCCACAGTCATATGAAACGGAAACAATTTCGCATACGTTAATTCATCATTATTTTATATTTTGGTTGATGGCGGTATCCATCACGAATCTTCCTCGCAGGTCGTTATGACTGACAAGTAAAGACTGCGTGCAAATTTTCGAGGTAGGATTCGATATGGCTGGTCCAAAGTCTTCTCTGACTTTTTCCTCGCTCCAAAAATACACGCGGAAACGACAGCTGTATGCAAAAAACGGATTTTACATCGCGATTAACGCAACTGGCGAGGTGACAGGCACTAGCGACGAAAGCTGTTTAAACGGTGAGGAAAATTTATTCATAGTTGATAGAATTTTGTTGAACATGTATTACGCTGCTTTTAATGTTATTTTGGGAATCGAATATTGCTTCCCAATATAATTTGAAGCCTATATTTGCGAAATTCTGACAAGAAGCCAGGGTCCGCAATGAATCAATAATTACAAACTCTTCTGGTGAGGCTAAATATTCCAATATTACGAATGCAGTAAACACTGAACATTTGAAATATTATTGCGACTTTACTCCTTTTGCCTACATAAATCAAAATTAATATTTCATTCTTTATGAATACCTTTCAATTTTCTTTTTAGAACGAAGGGGAATGTTCTTCGAATAACTTTTTAGCCCAAATGTTATTCTTGGTCTACACGAATAAAACACTTTTATTAATCTGCGGTTAGCGACATTTACAAGCTATAAGAAGGCAAATGAAAGTGTACATCTTGCGTTGAAAATATCAAATTTTGCCTGCATAATAATGTGTTTCAAAGAAAAACATGATTCAATCAGTATCTTTAATGTTTACGAGTTCAGCACGAAATGAATTTTCTACCGTATGTTTGCACCTAAAGATATTCGTTGTTTTGTTTTAATATTCAACAAGAAAGATACCGCTTTACGGCATATTCATTATGTTTCTGCTTTATTTTGACTCTATGTTTTCAAAGAATTAATACTGAATATTTTGGAATTATTTTTGATATAATTAAAGTGAGATTAAGATTTTGTTTGGACGCATATAAATGAGCGTTCTGTGTAATCTATTAATACTGTAAATGGAGTTATTTACATAGTAAAGAAATATCTGTTGAGTATGATACTCAGTTATAGATTTTCAACAAATTGAAAGAAAAAACAGATTTATGTTCAAGAAAAAAAGAAAAACTTCCAATGGCACAGGTTTGTGTAAACGTGTCTGCAATGACCGTGTCTAAAGCATCTTTTAACGGGAAAGAGTAATCCTGCATGAGAACATAACTCAAAATGCAATCGACTTCAGCTCTTTAAGTGACCTGTGGTTGGCATCATAAAGATCCGTTCGGACAAGCAAAGTTACTTTTCACTACTAGCCTAAGGATTGGTTTATAAAAGTACTGCAGTGTAAATTTTAATCACTGATGCATCATTGCCTTTTTGTAACGCGGTAAAAAGTCAGCTGCCAATCTTAGTACTACTTCAGTCCGTACGTGATCGTTACCCGAACGAGGAGTTCACCCAAAAGGTACATGAAAGGCAAGAGAATCGGTAATAAATGAGGTTTAGCGAAAGATAAGGTAAATTATCAATGAACCATAAAATTGTTTACCTCTTTGAACCAAAGCACCTTTCTGTTCCATAACAAGCTATTTTTAGGAATGCGGTGTTTTAATGCGACCACTTTGTAGGAGCACATGGAATGATTTAGGAAAGGGTTAGCCATTTTTAGGTCAACAATGTTAAAAATTTAGCTTTCGTGACGGAGTATTAGCGTGAACCCTCTGCTGAGTAAGAATCTCCATCACAACACTCCTTCCCCCCTCCCCGAAAAAAAACAAAACAAAACAAAACAAAACAAAGCCCGTAATATCACAACTGTCTTCATCATTTGATACATATCGTATAAAATGTCTTTTCCCTTAGCGGTTTTGCAGTTTCTCTCTATTGGACCTGACCTCATCGCCATCTGGGGACTGAAGGCTAAAAAATATCTGGCAGTAGACAACAAAGGGAAAATCTTTGCTACGGTGAGTCAAGTCAAATAACTTTCGGCAGAGAAGCCGCTGACCGTTTGTTTTATCAAGCAGTTTTAATCTTGGATTGTTAGTGGTTTTCTGTTTTATTCGTTCATTCGTTGGCTTGTTTTGTTGTACTTTTATAAATTTCAACTTTTTTTTCTCAAATTTGCTTTTGAATTTATTCTTGTTATGCTAAAGATGTTTCTGCAGTTTTGATTCATATCCCTCTCATGACACGAGGAGTCATGATCAGTAACAGTGAAACTGGTGTGCTTAAAGCTGAGATTATCTGAGACATCAGCCCGTTTTCTGGAGCAGAGGGCCAAATATTTTTAATAATCTTGAATTAAAGTTATTTCATAGAAACATTTACCTTTAACTATGTTTCCTACTTTTTAAAATCTATAACCATCTATTGCATTTACTGATTCGTTGGAATCATTTCATGCAAATAAATTAATTTAAACAAACAGAATTTGGGAACAATGATTCGTTAAGTTAAAAAAAAAAAAAGAAAAAAACAGCAAAAGGTGAAGAACAACTTAAAAAGCACCTAGGATAGTTACGGTTGGAAAAGATTTTAGAGGTGTTATTTTAAAAAAACTATTGAGGACTCGCCACTTATTAGACACCCATAGCGCTTTCCTGAATTATTACATTTCTTTCTATTTACCTTCAGGAAGCTGAGAGAAAAGAATGCGTATTTCGAGAGTTCTTTGGAAAAAACTTTTACAATATTTTTCGCACGTGTCACTCAGACGCAGACGGTAAGGGTTGGTACCTATCCGTGGACGAGAATGGCAGAATAACCGCTGAGAAAGTTTCTTACAGTGATGAGCCGAGACTTCATTTTATCGTTAAAACACTCAAGGATCAAGAAGAGAATGAAGTTAAGGAAAAAGATCCTGCTGACACGTTGAAAAGCCAAAATAGCAACAAGAGATGTGATAAGAAAACTGCTAAGGACTTTGGGCTTCCCTCCTCAGAAATCGTGTGGATCATGCAGCAACCTTACCATTTTGAGGGTAGCATGTCAAGCACGCCCAGTCCCCCAAGCTCTTCGTGTGTTTCTGGCAGTTCGGCTTCCACTGGAGAATGGACTGGATCGGGCGAATACTCCACCTCGGTATGATTAGTGGTGACGAGAAGTACAGCTCGTTTCATAATCGAGTAGGAGAAAATTTAACTGAGTGGTTAAATGACAGTGTGGCTGAGCTTTGAATGGGGGAATTGACCTCACGAAACACTAGTATTTCACTCAGAAAATGTTATGTACGAATGGGGCTTATTTTATATACCCTGGAACAGGGAAAACTTAGAACTGGACAGAAAAAATGTCATCTTATGATCACGTTGCACAGGAACCCCATGTAACTTTATTGAATTAGCTCTTTCGTTTTCAAACCCCCAGTTATTCTGATAATCATCAAAATGTTGAATGAAAGAAAGTCCTTGCTAGTCTTAATATAAGAACTTGACTACGTCAAAAAAGTAAATTATTACTCCGTTTTCTTCCGTTATATCACCGAGTTATATTTCGAAAGTTTTATCGTTCTAATAAGGGCGGAGAAAGGTAATGACAAAACAGTTTTCCTTAACTAATATGGAGGATTGATTTCTTTGCTTAGATCGCTCAGTTTCTAACATACTTTAGTCTGCTAACAGAAGCTTTGAAGCAGAAACTTATCACTGGGCAATAATTGATGAATTGGTAGCCTGATAAATATTTATATAGTGTATTTAAGAATCTTTGAATTATTTGAACAGTCGACGGTATTCAGATATGTATATTTTTAGCTCTAAAATCAGAAGGAATGTTTTAATCCTTGTGACTCAGTTATATGAAAATATAATCATTGTGATTGACTTACAACTTAATCCGATGTCATATAAAACTGCTCTGGTATATCAAATAGAACTATCTTCTACCCATACTAAGTACCCCAAGCAGCCACATTTCGCTGACCCGAACAATTAGTTCTTAGCAGAATTACGATATCTTGCATGCGTTTACCCGGCAATGGGTCCATAGTAGTATAACAGAGGACCTCTGAGATTACAGTCTCACTTATGGTGGATTATTTCGATTTAGAGAGCCAACGCTCTGTATACATTGTCATACGCTCTTGAGATCCAGATGATCAGCATGTATGGCATTTGCGGCGGCACTTTGTCCGAACCCACTTGCTTGTCTTGCAGCTTCCCTGCTTTGCCCAAATCTTGCACATCACATGACCATCAGAGCAAACTCGAGCTTTGTTCAAGAAATTCAGAGATACCAAATGATCAATAAGATAAAACAAGGAATAGCCCAGACCATTTTGGTTCATCTCTCAGGGTGTGTTTAATAGTGTGAAAAGTATTTTGAATAGCGAGGGTCTAAAGCAGGCTTACCCCGACTAAGATTTTGGATGAATCCATGGTGGCATTTGAAAATTCCTCTTTCCCAGTCTGCTTTTTACCAATCCAGACGAGGAATTGTTAAAAATATGTATCCTGATACGTAAGAAAAGGATAAGAAAATGGAACCGGAACTCTTACGTTGAAGCTGAACGACTTATACTTCTCAGAAAGTGCGTAAAAAAGACGACAGAGAAAAGTAATCATTAACTATATGCACATTCACAAAGAAAGCGATACACTCAGAAGCCAATTCTAAAGTGAAATTATACCTTTCTTTAGACTGCAATTCGTAGCAGAGCATCGTCGTAAAGAAAGAGGCTTTGCTCGCCCAGCGCAAGCTGTCTCATTCAGTGGCTTGTTGTCACTCTTGGAGCAAAACACTCTTCTTATCTGATGACCATGCCCACAAGTCCTGGAGCATCTGCTCCACGAGCTCACCTTTAAAGGAGAAATGCTAGTCGAAAGTTCTTTCAAAATGCAACGGGCGGGAAGTATCTTTCCTATGGAATTTCGAATGACGAACGATTGGATTCGTATTCAAAACGCGATCAGTAGGTCCTTCGACTACAAGTTTAATGTTGCAACTAGCCAATTCTGTTCCTGAGTCAAGAAGTGGGGAGAAACACTCCACATTTATTTCCTGCTCTAACCGTTTCCTTTGTGCTTTACAACAGAATAGATCACAGTCAAGGCTTCGCTTTTTGATATATATATATATATATATATATATATATATATATATATATATGAATACGTATTATATATTTTGTTTTCTCATCAAAAAAGACACTTGTTTGATAAGAGATCAAAAGGCGTATATATTTCATATTTTTTTTTCAAATTGCGACGTTTTTGAAAAGGGGCGTATATTTTTCTTTATTTTTACTCACCCTCCAAACGGGTGCCACTGAAACATTGGTGTTTCTTCTTGGACAAGAATTAGTGTTGCACCTAATTTAATGAAAAGAAAAGGATGCACCTAAGCATAATCTCCATAACAAATTCTTGAAAATTATCTTGTAATAAAAATGACAAATTGGAGAGAAATCAACTTTCTGTATAATATACAGGCTTAGATCTCTATGATAATCAAAGAAGTTCGGGTCTAATAATTCCTTTCCATATCATTTAACACAAGCTCACCGAGCGAAACTTCTTTCCAAAATAAATGTGTCCAAGAACAATCAGAGTGATGCAATCATTCAATCAATAAAAATTTTCCACAGATTCGGTTATTATCAATCTTAATTTTTACAATAAAGATATAATTAAATTGTCGTTTCCATACCTCTTTCTGGTGATTGGAGGCTCTTCTTTACACAGTTTCCAGGAGGTAGAAATCATATCCTTCCCAGCACAAATCTTCTTTCGCCGCTGAATTCCACCTCCACAGCTTTTGCTGCAATCCCCCCAATCCTCTACGTGCCATTTGTATTGAGTGGGGCATGGGTTAAAGCTGCAGTCTTCCCACGCTAAAGGCGGTGGATTGTCTACAAAGTATGGATATATTTTAAGACGCAATCTCTCTAAAAGCGGCTCGTCGCATTTCGGTTCCAAAGGATCGATTTCTTTCACATTTTGCTCATAGATCTGTCTCATTCTAAAAGTAATCGAAACAACCTTGCTTTTTCGAAATAATGCAAAGTATTTTTTTCTGAGCGAAAATCCCCTCAATGCGCAAAGGTCGGTCCATTTTTAAGAGCGCTGATCATCAAAAATTGCGCAAATTACCGTGATCGTTTTTTGGCAAAACTCTTGTTATATTACAGTTTGACACCCACCTCGCCATTGCTGCCATGACCGTAAATATTCAGCTTTTAATCCTGGTACATAGTCAGATATGATAAGAAATAGCCTTACCCTCGCAAAAAGATTCGTCCACCTCATTCTGTTCGTCCATTCCAAAACACAGGGTCTTTCTATTTCGTTTCCCTCCACCGCAGGAGACAGAACAATCACCCCACTCTTCTGCACGCCACTGATAGTTTTCCTTCTTCTCTTTCTTTATCTCCACTTCGCTCCTTTTGTAATTTTTTAGTTCTGTATGACGATAACGAGTGAATCATTAGTTACGCATAACAATTTTATTTTTGTTTGATATGTAGACAGCTGTCAAATTTACCTCTGTAGTATTATAGAGACTAAGAATTCGTTACCAACTTTCCTTCATATTAGAGTAAACGTACTCATCCATAACAGGAGATAGAGGACGGTGGGTCAATTGTGGTCCACCATAAATATTTTGCCATCGGTATTTGGGGCTTAGGAAGGGAAACAAATATACGTAGCGGGAATAGACCATGAGAGCAAAGAGCGTAAGAAAGAAATGAAGTAGAAGAGTAAACCACGGCAGTGAGTGGAAGAAAGCTTCATCTGTTACCTCATCCGAGGGCTCATGAACGATAGTATCGTGCGTGTAATAATAAGAATAAGAATGAAAAAATAGCTTGGAGGGTTCCCTTCGTTTTGCGCATAAAAGATCTCCTATCGTGGTGTTCTCGATGATGGTGAATTTATGCTTTGTATCAAGCGAAAAAATCAGACAGCCTTTAATTCATAACGCACAATACTGGTGTGACATACCTTTCTTACAAATATAGCTGCGATCCATATCACATCGATCAGAGCCCCAGCCTTTTCGGTTTAGCATCAGGGTACAGTCCAATCCAAAGCGAGGCTCTCCTGGATTCCAAGCAGAGTAAACGACATCTGTATCATCAGGCCAGATGAAATTACCTCTACTAGGGCTGTACTTTGCACCTGTGCGTAGAAAACGAAATTAAATGAATAAATTTTATTTTTCACATAGACTTGTACGTGGTGGGCTGTTTTGAACAGATGATTTACAACAACTATCAAGCAATCATTTGTATTATTTTCTGTTAGTCTTCGTGTTTTGTTTTAACTAATCGTCTCATTTGCGCTTTATCAGTCTCCCGCTTCTATTTCTTGTGTTTGTCTGAGTTGCACAAATTTTTGGTTTTATTGTTTTTTCTCCTTCCTCTTTTTTCAGATCGTCATCGACCTCGCTTAAATATATTTAATAAAGCCAGCAGATACATCATTTCTATAAATAACTCTGTGGTCTAAACGTAATTGAAATCCTTCTATAACTATTTTTTTTTTTACCTAGCCAATAAAATATATTGTTAAGCTGTTTTTTCTCCAGTTCTGCTCTCAAAAAAGTTTCTTCCTCTGTACTTCTCAATGTTAGGATCCCTGCCCCTTGATCTAAACATTTATCACTTGCTTCCTGCAGACTTGTTCTGGCCAAGTTTATTTGATAACAGGCATCGTGATAAGAAATCCAGCCCTTTGGACAGGAATCTGTAGAAAAAGGGATAATCGACAAATCATGGCAACCAAGTGAATTTGTGTGGATGAATACATAAAACAACATAATAGCGTAAGGGTGTCTACTTGCCTAGTGAATAGGTAACTAATGGTTGTTTGCCAGAGGGTCCATAACTGACTCACTGACTAACCGTGGGACCTACCCAGATGGTAAATTGCCTGGCCAGCCGATTCAAACTCATTTACTGCTGGCTAAAAACTACTTTCCTACTCTGTTCAAAAGTATTGGTGTCTCAGTTAATGGATAAATTCATCAAAAATTTTCCTCAACTCAATTTTTTTCCTATTAGTTATTTACTTAAGAGGCATGTAGTTCATAAGTTGTTATAATCATTTAAGGATTTGCCTAAAAATTAGCAACAGCTGCATTTGAACTTGACCGAAAACCATCTTTCAATTCACCAATCCATCGATCAATCCATCAATCCCCCCACCCGATCTGCCCTCTCTGTCAACCAATCTGTTCAATCAAGCGTTCATCCATCCAGCCATCCATCATTCATCCATCCGTCCATACAACCATCCATTTACCCAATCATCCATTCATCCTCATTTTTTTACTCACCCACGCACTCGCCGTCTCACGCATACACGCATCCAGCCACTCAATGAATCATTCACTTCATTAGTCTTTCTTAATTCATTCATTTAATGAATATGTTACAAATGAGAAGTAAAATACAAAAGTTACCACACTGTTTTCCGTAACATCTGCGATATTTTGCCGGTAACTTCGTTTCACTGCAATATTCTGAGGATGTTCGATTCCGGTCACTCTTGGCACAATACACGTCTCTCGTCTGATTGCCGGAGCCACATGGAATAGAGCAGTCATCCCATTTTCCCGTGTGCCACATGTATGGATAATCTTTTGGAGTTACAGAGATAAGAAATAACATGTGATAAGCATAAGAAACCAAACCTTTTAATACCAACACAAAAGTTGTTCCCGTTGTTACTCCTTTGCCCTACCATGCCACAAAGGAGCGTTTGAAAACTTAATTAGGACCCGTCCAGTGATTTATGGCATAGGTACTACTGAAATATCAACGTCATATATGGCACAATAACCTGACGAATGTATACAATTTTGAAATATTGAGACGCAGTAACATATTAATTACGTTACTAACCTGGACATCCATACATGGTGTTAATCATCAAGATATCACTTGGTGTGGGATATTTTCTTTGGCCAATCTTGTCCTGATACTTTGGATCCTTGGTCTTTATTGTAGTCAGGTAATATCTTCGGTTATGGTTCAGCTTTGCAAAGTAGTCTTTTCCGTAGTGCATAATACTCAAGTAATCGTATTTGACCTTTAACGTGTCCTGGGAGCCATGGTAATACTTCTTGAATTGGTCTGATCTACCTGTGCGAGCGAGATAAAAATAAAAAAATAACCAAGATTTTTGGGTCCTTGAAAAAGGGAATCCTGTTGCTTTTGTTATTGGTACTTTTCCTTGTTTGTTTGATAGTTGATTATTAGTCACTTGCAATAATGTTTGGTAGGTTAGGAACCTTAAATTCAATTTATATCCTACCTGGTAGAATATTTTCCCAAAGTATTTGTACGTATTTGTCTCTGTCGGGTCTAGACTGGGTGTGCCATAAGCCAAGGGCGTGTCCCACTTCATGAATGACACTGCCAGGTGGGCAATGATCTCCCAACTTAATTGGTTGGTAACTACCAATTCGACCAATAGAAGATGCGCATCTGCATAAAAAAATCAATTGGATATCATTTTCTTTCCACACTCGTCTTACAATTTCCTAATAATTCAAACAGTAGATCAGTATTTGCCTTCGCGTTTAAAAATCTAGAGTGAGTTCTTTCATAATCCTAACGAGTTCTTTAAAATGCTTTAGCTACCTACGGCTCCGAGGGTCCTTCTCCCTGTATAACTCCACCCAGTCTCTGTGACCAGCTTTCTTTGGTACGAACTTGACGCAGGTCTGTTCAAGCCAGTGTCGTATACCGTGGTGAAATCTATCAGCTAAATTATGTCCAACTGTTGACCATTTAAAACAAAAATTTTAGGGATAAGGCTATCAGATGATGTCAATCTGTGAAAGATAGCCAAAAAGACCTGAGATGAAGCACACCGGTTGATATTTACCGGCCTCATCAAAAAGTTGAGGTCGAAATTACCGTTAGACCGCAATCTTTGTTAAAGTATAATGACATTTATGCGCAATTAATAGGCTCACAGGGTATGTGGACATCGTCATTGTGCACTTTAATGATAGCACTGGACGGAGAATAAGTCGAGAAATCGATGCAACTCACGTATCCTGGAAAAATAGCCTGTTATTATATGAATTGATCTTCGTTGTAAATGGTGATGTGAACACGACGAATTTTTACATGAAAGGAAGAAATCACACTTAAGCTAGTATATCATTTATTTTTTACTGTTCCGTTCTCACCGAGGTCAGATGGAATGTAATAGGGCACAGTTCTTTCTGGCCAGAGAAAACTCGCTTTCTCCCACACGTCGGCAGCCGCTACGTCTTGATGGAAAGGACTTGTCATGGCTCTCTGCAACTTGGTTAGAAGGATGTCACCCTCAAAGTCCTCTGCTGAAGCGATTTTCCCTGTAAAAGACAGAAAAAACAAGCAATCAAATAAGTGAACAAAGCAAAGCAAGTCTTAACATATTTTTTATTACAAAAAAACAGTTTTATTGCAAAATGACCATTTTTTTCCAATCAATGAAAGGAATTAGTCCTTCGCTGGTCTTCTGCCGCACTTGTTTAAGGTTAAGTCAATGAGACTATGAAAAAGATGTAAACTAATATTCTCATTAGATCCTAAAGTTTCCTATGTGCTTTGAATATGATGCAATTTCAAAGCAGGCTCGGTGCTTCGTAATCGGTACGTTTCTTCTATTTTATTTATTATTATGTTCTTGCTTTTGTTTTGCTTCGTTTTATTCACATCAACCTCTTATTTTGTAGACGTTAATAGCTTCGTGGCCTCCTTCTCCTTCAAAACATTCCAGCGACTCTCCATGCTCTTTAAAACTCTCTTGAAGCCTGGGACCCGCCAGGCATTCGCCGCCATCACGAACTGCGAAATATCTGTATTCTTTGTCCTGCGCGACTTCGGCACATTTTGTAACGGAATCAACTCTGGAGAGAAAAGAGCGCAATGACCAGCTGACCAAGTAATTTAACCAACGATTAAGTCCTCCTTAGGACTTTTGACGCCAGGGCTAGAAGTTTTCTTGAGATTATCGTTTATTTATATTTGCAAGAGACTGAATATTACTGTAATGTAAAAAATATTTCCATATACTCTTTTCTTTTCAGAGATGATGTCAGTTGGCAGTTTGTGCCCTTTTGTTTGTTTACAAGTTATCTGCGATGACCTAAATTTGCAGTATGTTCAACATTAAACCAGGAGACAGTGACTCTAACTGTTGAAAAAATTACGAAGAACCAAATTGCAGTCATTGCGTTTTGCAATAGACACGTTGTGTACCTGATAAAACACTTCACGACTGACCGTTTTGAAAAGACCCGTAGACATCACTCAGATAACTCTTGCTGGCATGCTATATCCGCTTGACATCACAGGTTACAAATTTAAAATCAAAGTAATGCGTGTAACCGTTTCAAGCGCGGAAATAGTTATTTCAAGGCAGTTTTTATTTAATTTGTTGGGACGATGGAATGATTCTCCAACATCACTTACAAAGCACAAAGAAGAAAAAACCCTTCAATTAAGGAGACACTTCAACAAGGATTCCAGAAAATAGGTTAAAATTTATCACCTGTCCCAGTATAGTCCTTCTAATCCGCTATGATGACCCTCTAAACTCATTACTTTTGACGTGTCATTTTCTGGAAGATTCCAACAACCCAGGCTATCGTAACCTTTAAGATAAAAAACATTTTTGCAACTTTGAAATATGACCTTGACACTTAAGAGAATAGACCTGCTACAGGCCAGGTCACCAAGCATATAACGGGAAAATGGACTTAAAAGATATGAAAATCTTTAGGCCATTTTAAGAAATAAACACACTTGAAGGTTTTTCAAAGATCTATTTGTGTCTGTCAGAAATGGAACTGGCTTGAACTAGCTTGAAGCAGCTTGTTCTCTAAAATACAAGGCTTGAAACAACAAAGGAGTTTACGGCCTAGCAGTCGAAAACAGAAAAATCACCAAGAGGTATTTCATCTTACCAAGTTTGTTACCAGCGTCACCGGTTGCCACCAGAACAAGCTGGAAAAGTAAAACACATAGAGCGAAGATCATTTGAATCTGTTGTCCCAGGAAACTGAGTGAGCTTTCAAAATGTTACGTTCGAAAAACAAACTCTTCACCGTGCACATGAAGATTGTCACTTTCAAAATTCGTCTGTGATGAATAAATAATGCTATGTTTTCATAGGATGAACGGTAACCAAAGCTTTAGTTTGACCTGTAAAGTCACTAATAGGCTACCTGTAGTGCTAACTTGCATATATTGAAAGTCATGATACACAGGTCATCAGCTAGGTATGACCTGCTCCATTTCGCTATCGCTGAAAAGTGTACCGACTTATGATGTTTGTCACCAGTTTCCTCTGAGGAAAAATTTATAGACAAATAATTTTTTACTTCTTCTGACGGATTACTTTTGATATATTTAAAGTTCTAAAGAGGCCGCTACTTTCGCTAACTTTTTTGCCTCGAAGAGCAAGGGCAAGTTTGATTCCTCTAAGCCGTAAGTTTTTTTTTTCTATCAAAAAGGATTCGCGATATCCAAACTGATACAGTTACTAGATGATTTCCTAGAATTTGCAATTTTCCATCCATGTTCCTATGTTACTTTTTTCTTGTAAAGATTATGCATCATTATGTTTTTACTATACTAAATGTGGTGATTTAACCTTATGGAATAATCTATTGCTTCATACGTTTACTTAATTTTAGGTGAAGAGTAGTCGATCAGGTACAGTGCCATGTCATCATCATGTCATTATGAACCATTCACGTTGTCTGCGATTAGATGATTTACTTTAATCGAAATATGTAAATCTCGATCATTATACAGGCTTCTGTAGTTAATCATCGAAATAAGTTTATTACTGAAGAAATTGGACAACCTTCGGATAAGGCAAACTCTTCAAAGTATAAATTCGTTCTTCAAAATCTCCATGGGAACCACTCTTTTGGTCATTTCAGTGACATTACAACCTGTTGATACGAATTAGTGAATTTCTGGCATTGACTTAAAACCAGTAATGGATAATAGACATATGGCATTTTTTTAATTGAATAAGCGTTCTCGTTCTCGGAGACATCCTTGGAACCGTCTTGCTCCCGAACAAGAAATCTTGCACATGAAAAATGTGCCGTGGCTATGAATAGAAAGATGACTAAAGCCCTGGGGTCTCTCAAGGAAAGTGCATAAAACAACAGAGTAATGCACATCATTCATATAAATCTCTTAAGATCAAGTTTGCCTCGGTATGTTCTCCACCAGTTAAATACTTTTCCTAAATATAGAAAAGGACCGTGTGTAAGTAACGTATCATTTTAATGTGTGACCACTAAATGAGAGTATTAGTAGACACAACATGATAATACGTGACTCAAAATCACTGATAAAGGAAAGAAACATCAGAAAATTACTTTTTCCGTAAATCGTAATGTGTTTGTAAAATGAGATATAATTTGTTCACTTGTTCTCACTTAATATTTTACTATAACATAAAAACTGTACTTATAAAACACCGAACGTTTCCTCAGCTGTTCGGCAGGATTTTATCGAAAAAATGAATGATAAGGGTTTATCGTTTGACTTTCACCGATTTTGTACAATGTCGAATTACAAAAGACTTTAGACTTTCACTCTGCTATCAGTGAACATTTAATTAAAGAAAAAAATAATAACCTCAATATCACGCACTTACTCACCAATCCTTTGTTAGAGCGTGGCTTCCGCGCTCTCTGCTTTGTTTCCTAGGCAATGGTTTAAAAGAAAAAACAGATATTCTCAAAAAGTTGTTATCATTTTTGTCACACAAGATTACTTAAGGAACATTAAGGCTAACTTTAGCTATATCGACATTTGGAAAGAGCCAAAAATAAAAGATGAATTTTCATTTTTTGTTCCCAATTTAAAACAAGGTACTGCCTTAGACGTGACTTATTTACCTACTGAAATACTTATTTAAAAAAATTACGACCTTTTTTCTACGACAACATAAAAATCCGATGTTAGTATAGAAGTATTGACTGCAAGATCATGATAGAATGTAAGACTGAACGATTCAGCAAGAAGAAAAGACAACGGCAAACAGGAAAACCAAATTAATCCTCCTCATCAGCTGTTTAAACTCTGAAATGCTGAATCACGTGAAGAGAGATGTATCTTGCGTACGTCATGCACGCGCGACACCAACTGATTTCTTTGTTCATTAGTCACGGAAAATTTGTAGTCGAAATAAGGAGCTCTGCCAGGTAAAGCGTAATGGATCCTTTAAAAGTGTTGGTCGTGCTTGTACTCGGAAACAGCCTCACTCATGCTTTCTTCAGAAAAATCACTAGAGTAATTCGAAGGCCGTGTTCTTGGAAAGTGTGTAAAGGGCACGAATGGAAAAACGACTGGAGCCCAACAAGTATTCCACAGGGGAAGTGTATAACGCAAAATCGCAAAGCACACCATTCTTACACTGAGTTGAAAGGCAATCTCATATGTCCTCCTACGGTTCCTTGTGCAAATCTCGATCAGAAGAGAAGTATATGTAAGTACTTTACAGTGTATACCTTCGTGTTTAGAAATTATCCACTTTTACAGCATAAAATTGACATGAATGTCAGTCTTGTTTTATGGGCCAATTTCAAAAAAATTGTCAAAAGGGGCATTTTCCCCAATGGCGAGTTTTTTGTTAAAACGAAAATTCATAATTCATACTCTTTGAATTAAAAGAAAGAGGTGATGACTTGGTTTGAATTTCACAGTTCTTAAACACAACTGCCTCTTTTCGCCTCAATTCGAACGTGCGCTAATCATCAAACTTTCATGACGTTAGATTTCCAGAAGAGCGGACGATCGTTATCGAACAAAACACACCTCGCTTCAGAATAGCAAAGTGTTGAATTACTCAAGAAATTTGCACCAACATCCAAAATCACCCTCTACTTAGAAATCTTAATTCGATATTAATCCGGCACTGACATTTACATTTTTCAGACAGCACTTGCACGTTTTCGGACAGCATTTCTTTAAAAGTATTAGAGTAGACGAAGATTGAGCTGATTTTTTCAATATGCATTATCTAGACTATGATGATAATAATTCTTCAATTCTGCTTCCCCCATCTTATGGGAAGGTTTATTTTTTGGGAAAAACATCTCAACTTCTCTTCTGGTGGAAATAAGTTGAGCACGTAGGGATAACAGGTGGCCATATTCTCAGTCCATATTTTTATTTGTATTCGGTATCAGTGAAATAAATTTCAGGCCTGACTTTGCGCTAACACGAGACAGTAAAAGTCGTCATCAAGGTACAAAGAGAAGAAATTTGACCGTCGATTGGGTTAAGTCTAGTTCGTTGACAGATTTCTGGGCTAAATGTTTAGATCATGGCAATAAATTGCAGTTTTGTCACCTGCAACAAATATAATAATACCACTTCATTGAAAGGAGCGACGGTTTTCATGAATCGTAACCTCTTGTAATAACCAAGGATAAAATATGCTCGAGCAGAAATTTTTCTTTTTCGTTTGTTTATTTATTTTGTTTTGTACTTGTTTGTTTTGTTAGTTGGATTTTTTTTGTTTTTTTGATACCATATTGATTGATACTATTGATACCAACGTGAAATATTTTTTTCTTTTGGTTTTATGGAGAGTAGCTATAACGATGTAACTTCTAGATTATTCCAAGTTGTATTGTAATCCGTCGTGTAGATGTGACAATACTGGACCGAAATTATGGTTTCATAATACTGCAGCTGGAGTACAAAGAGAATGTATTTCTAAAACTCCGAATCAACTTCTATTGTTGATAGGTGTTGTTAGAATTGTGGAGTTGAGAAAAATAACAAATGAATAGTTACGAAGAATAATTATGTAATTCACTCACTTGGTTTGTTTTTGTTTGTTTGTTTTTTTTTTCGGTAGGTTTTTTTAAAATTTTTAATTGATTTCTATTGGTTGTCTTCTGTACGTATATACCTACCGTTTGGAGAGGCTGTAAGGAGATATTATGGTCGTAAATCTTTACTATGAGTTTGTGTCAGCGGTGACTGAAGTCATTAGAGTGCTCAGGTTAAGTTAAGGGTCAGGGATTATGCTCTTCAAGAGTAGTTGAAGAAGTTATCTTTCTAAGGAAGGCTAACTGGATTACTTGTTATCAAGAGATTATAATATTGTACGATTCGTTTAATTTACCTACTGTCTATAACGCCGCTGACAATATACCTTGGGCACAGTTTCCCATGCCTTGTGAATTGCTTGAGCGTCGTTTGTAATTTTTCTTTGGCGTTTTTTGTCAAGTTTATTTTATAGCTAAGGATTTTGAGGCTATCCTGTAAGAAGCAATAACTTCGAATCGCCGCCGGATAGATCCTCGTGCAAACATCGTTGTTTACGAGAACACAAGGTATCTGGACGCCTACAAGTTGTTGTGTCGCATTTATTTTCGCCAAGCGTAACAGGCCCCAGCAAACATAATCTCTTGTTGTTATTTAGAGATAGTCTTAATAGTGTTTGTATCTGTCTGATGAATTATACCTTATTAGTTGTTTTAAACAACAATACACTCCAAAACATTTTACGAATGTTCGTTTGTTTGAAATTGACTTAAATATTCAAAAAATACGGTCACCGAAATTTTCTTGTACTTATTAGATGGTAATAAAACCCCATACCTCAGAAAGCATACATTTCATTGATAAAGAAAGACAACGACTAAAACAATAGTTCAGCCCTAGGAGTAATGCTTCGTTTGGAACAGCACAAGATCATACGGAAGTTTTTCAAACCAAGACTTACCAAAATGAGCACACATAATTCTCCGACAAAGAATCAGCCTGGAGGCGACTGTTACATCAAAAAGTGCAATATATAAGTAATTAAAATTATGTTAGCAAGACAAAGACTTACATAATTTTATGATTTTTTTTTGTGTAAATCTAACAGGTTTCCGCGGTTAAGTTTCCGCAACAGCCTAGTCTACTCAGTTTGACAAAGAATCGAAAACAGCATGGAAATCATTATTGTTAGAGCTATTTTTTTCTTCCTTAAGAAAATCGTACTGTATTGAGGTTTTGGTAGGAGACGTAAGAGCAGTTTATTCATGCAAATGAGGAAAATGAAGAAGTGCTAAAGCAAAAGATAAACATTCTTAATTGACCCCAATTGAGAATGAATCAATCTCTTAAATTTACCTCTCTACTCAGTGATGACCCCAAATTTCTCATGTTGTAAGGGTAATTAGCAAATATCTTACAATCAGGTCAACATTAGTTAACCAAAACTGTTTTAAATCCAGTTCGTGCGTCGCCGATTGGAAAAAAACGTTATAATCAACTATACAGTATTTTTGTACTCGTTGTATCCCTAGCCTGCATAGACTGCATAAAAGTCAAGAAGAGTAAATATCCTATTCATGGATTCAGTATTTTGCGTCAGCTGGGTAAACTCTGAAACATTGAATTGCCCATACGTCCTAATTTATCATGAAAACTTTGCTACGTTGCATTTCATTGTTCACCACCCGGCCATAATATCTTTGAGTTGGGATAGGAACCTCTTCGAAAGCGCAATGTCTCTTTTACAAGCTCTTAGCCTGATTTTTCTTGGTAACAGCCTCGCTATTGCTTATATGCCTACTAGACCATGTTCTTGGAAAACCTGTAATGGATACGAGTGGAGAAACGACTGGAGTCCATCAAACATTCCACCGGGCGATTGCATTACACAAAAACGCTCTGCGCACTATTCCTATACAACTCATCACGGAAGTTTCTATTGTCCTCCTACGATTCCTTGTTTCCCTTTATCACAGAAAAGGACAAAGTGTAAGTGAGCTTTCTATCCCTTACGAAATGATATTTCAAAGCTAAGAAAAGTCTATGATATATATACTTATTGTACTGTCACAACGAGAGCCTAATAATTACGAAGTTTTCGAGAAAAAACAAAAATGCAGATTTTGATAAACGTTGTCTACGGCTTAGCCTTTGTAAGGTCTTGTAGCCAAGGGCACTGTTCCGCATCTCAAAAACTTAAGTTTGACTCAGAGAAATGAAGGAACGTTAACAATCTGTGTTCAGTCATATTGACGGAGTCTTTCGATACCCAGAGAGGGAGTATTCATCCTAGTCTTAGACGAGAAATTGGGGGGAGGTGGTAAGTTTCTACAGAAACTGTGGTGCTGCGTCGGTGGGAGAGTATAACAGGTAAATTAGAGTTAACAACTGAGTTGAAGGCTGAGCGATTGGAGGAATTGTGGGTTGTGTGTGGGTTTATATGCAGAAAATGAAGCTATGCTATTGGTGGGAATATGGTGACGAGAAAACAAGAATAAATTAGTTGAATGAAAAGACGGGATTGTTCAGTTAGTAAGTTTAAGTCTGGTTTGTTAACTGGTCCGGCTGTGTTGTAGCAGTGGTTTCCACCATGTTCACTGACCTACCTTCGGACTAAACACCGAAGCTCCTCGCTAAGCGAGCTTTCATCAACAATTGGCTCAACACAAGATACAACTTAAACCTCAAAAGATCCTAAATATGGCTTCTTTTTCAAATCAAGTTTACCTTCTACGGAAAGATTAACGGTGTTGCTACGGGTTCCTCGCACGCACTATTAGTAACCTATTAATGTCTGCCATTGACGGAAGAAAACCATCAGCACGAAAAAAAACTACCCATTTTCTACTAAAGAAGGCCGGGTATAAGAATGAAATTTCCGCCACCGGTGTGTTGCTGCCGGACGAAGCAACATCAACTACTTTCTTAGCTATCATTCCACTCAAAGCTCACCTTTCAGTTGTAGTTACCGAGGGAGTTGGAAGAAATGGCATACTACCCTTAATTGGTCTCTAGCTATCCAGTCGATCGCCTCATAAAAGAGATCAACATCTACGTGAAGCCTACCAACACTGGCTTATTGTTGCATTATCAAGGTATCGTTCAAAATCGCCGCAAACGATGCGTATTGAACACTAAGCTTGATAGCCCTTCACCATCGTCTTTTTCTGTGCTTCATTCCTTAAAGGAAGCGCCGCGGTGACTGAATAGAGAGATTCTTCCCAAGAATAAATTATACCCTGAACAGCTGATCAATTCAATGATGAAACAGAAGGCTGTCTATCTTTGGAGACCGCACAACCGTCTACGCTTTAAAATTTCGCTGTTTCAAAATAAAGGCTCAAGGCCAAACATGGAACAAAGTTCCCTGACCAGCAGTCTTTGTCGATCCTCAAGGATCACGACGGCAGACCACGCTCGAAAAAAACTTAAAGACCTCTGAAAGTGAGGTAAATAATCCGACCCAAGTTCCTGAATTAAGTCAAAATCTTACTTTTAAATACATGGATTACAATTCGTTAACAGGGTGTGATGCAACATATGTGGGATGCACGCGCTGACGCTCACACGAACTTGTGAAGTGCACCGCTGACAATCGTCCTCCATTGCTAACAATTACGTCGGCAAAAACAACAATGTTCTCGAAGACTTACTGGGAGGTTGTCACATTTTCAGTAAATGCATTAAAAAAATTGATCGTTGTGGCTTATTGCTTTTTCCCAATCAATTAGATTTAAAATCTAAGAGAACGACCATTATTAAAATGTTAAGGTCTCGAAATATATAATTACGCTATAGAGTCTTCTTTGCAATCAATCAATGACGTACTGATTGAATGGAAACTTTGGTTGCTTGCCTAAGTATTTAAAACTCTATGTATTACAAAAGCTTTCACGAAATCATACTACTTCATAACTATGATCGATGTTTCCCCTTTCATGTACCATGCAGAAAGATATCTATTATATATCTCTATATTCTAAAACAGGACGTTACATCCCTGAAGCATTCTTAATGCTATGACAGGTGCAGGCGAAATATTCCTCCTTACCTGGGCAGTTCTCACATGCTTTTTTCTAGGTAGGACAAGAACAGATATCCGCCCTTAGATTTTTCTCCCTATTCATTTTATTCAACCATTAGTCAAGATACACTAAACCCTTTTGAAGTAACTCGTTTAGAATAAAATTATTTCAATGAATCGCCTCCTAAAGATATAATTTCAAGGTTAGTTGACAATAACATGATTCCCCATTCCAGCTGTGTACATTCATAAACCCGAGTATCTGTAATTCGTCCGTCAATCCAAACAAAAGCTGATAAGAAAACAAAATATTTCGGTGATTGCGCAGTCTTGAGCGCTGTAAGACACCATGGCGGTGTCTAAAGTCTTGAAGCTTCTTATGCTCGCCAATACCCTTGAATTTGTGTTTTCCTGTGGCGGCGGCGGAGGGCCATCTCCATGCTCATGGACCACTTGTGCACACCAATGGAGAAACGATTGGGGTCCTTCGCTTCCCCAAGAACAATGCCGGAGGCAACATCGTAATGCTCACCATATTACTACCACTCATAATGGCAAGACTCCTTGTCCGTCTCCATCGCATTGTAGTCCGAGCACTCAATACAGAACACTATGTAAGTGTAACTCGTAAAGTGTTAACTTTTCGGTTGCCTAACGGTTACATTGTTTGGCTGTTTTACGACCATTAGTTAACCCTATCGAGACCCTCTCTCTAAGAGATCAATATAACCATGCTTAAGAATTAGGAACATAAGGCTTTGAAAAATTCCTAAATATCTTGTATTTTTTGCTGTGTTCTGTTGGTTCTTACATTGATCCCATGGCCATAAATTCTAAACCCATATTGTTTCTTAACCTTTTAGTCTAATTAGTAAAATAGAATTGGGTTTAAATTTTTGATATCTATACTTTGAAGTTCTACTTGTAGTTTTTATTTCCATGCGATCACTCGCATTCCGTTGACTTAATTAGTTTTTAGGCCACATAGATATACTGATAGTACCTGTTTAAAGAACCAAAAGGCGACAATTTATCTTTTTAAAATCTGAGGCCTTTAACATTTTGCTATGGTTGTCTATAATGAATGAGTACATGAAGTCCTTATTTCTCCGAAGACAACTCTTTTTACCAACAGATCACCCTATTAGAGTTGTGTAGGGAACGAAAGGTTTTAAATTCAAAGTTAATTCCTCGTTTATAAATCGCTATTCAATACATTATTTTACGGCAAAGAACGGTAAGCCAAGCAACAGATAAAATTAATATCAGTATCATATCGTGGCTTTATTTTAGGAAACCCATTGCAAAGATTTCATTGTAATATTCTGCTTGAGTAAAATCAACCATTTACTGTTTCTTCAAATAGGGCATAGTTTCGATGCATTTTTTATTTTGCACCTGTGAAGCAAAAGTAAATATAACCGTGATATCACGTGTCACTCAGCAAGGCTGTAAGAAAGAAACTAATTTTTTTTTTCCGATGAAATTTGATTGACTAGAGCCACGTAAATCTGCATTAAGTCAAAACACGAATTTCCCTTAGGCTGAAAAAAAAGAATAGTTTTGTTTAAGATCTTTAGAATTTTGTAATTAGATGATATGTTGACCCAAGTGAGATTAATGAATGACACCAGAAGCAAAACGCAAAGATTCATAAACGGCTGTGTTTGGAATAACGTAAAACCTGAGGTAAATTGCGTCAATAATAATTTTCCTTCGTCTGTTTACAGTAAAAAATTAAGTAAAATCGTAATCGGAATTATCTTTTCTTAAAAAGTTGTATTTTTTCTTATCATGGCAGTAAAGTAAAGATAAAAATTTTACTCACCTCCATTAAGAGAAATATAAAAGTTGCAGTCTGGTTAAATCTGATAATTATTATTGTATCATTTTAGTTATAATTATTATTTAATTATTATTTTTTATATTATTAATAATAATAACATCATTATTATCACTACTGTTATTACTATTATCATTAATATCATTCTTTTTCTTTTTTTTTTTTTTTTTTTTTTTGATAATTGATCTTAACACTCTCATTTCGTCCGAATTAGTGCATGCCGGAAACTTCATTCATGCCGCCGTACATGCGTTGAATTAAGCCAGTTAAAGGAATACTTTAAGAGATGACTCCTATTTTCTAAAGAATCGTGTTGGTTAAGAACAATCTCGTTGGATATTTTATGGCCGCTCGTGCTGCGTTAACTTACTACAAAATTAATCTCGTGGACTAGAAAGGACCATTATTAGCCGGATAAATAATAACGGTAAATACTAAGGGCGACTTAGTTTCCTAACTGGGTGAAGAAGCAAGAGAGAAAAACGCACCAACGATAGACGGTATCTCCATGCAAAGTTCTATCTTAGGTAATCTTGAAAGCTCGGCTCAACTTGAATTATCCATCGAGGTTTATGTATAACTTTTGCCATTCTCTTTATTTTACTCCGCAGGTTCGTGTAAAAATGCTTATTACTGTCCGTTCCACGCATGGTCCGGCTGGTCTGGATCGGTTCCCCAAGGGACATGCAAACGTCAGAGTCGTTACCGCGACTACAATCAACACACCAGATATGACATTAGGGACAACAACTGCCATGGTATCTCAAGCATTTGTGGAAACCGAGAGTACAACTACAGAAACTGGTGTAAGTCAAATATACGGCGTTCGTAGGTTAATATGGCAGTATCTTGGTTTTTCAAGTAATTTCTAGGAAAGCACCCAAACACATCGGAGCCAGCCACTGGGTTAATACGGATACCTCGATTGATGACATTTAATTGTGATGAATTAAGCTGCCGGAACAAGGAAGGGAGCCTGAGATTCTGCACTTCAGTCTTTACTGCCCAGCAGATTCCATTGTTACAATGGAACGATCTTCTGCCCTTGCTAAGATTTAAAGCTGCATGATGGATTTTAGGAAATGGCCACGCATGTTTGTGCGTTGCCTGGTCTTAGCAGGATTGAATGCATGTCGAAAAAGGTTAACTGAATATAGGCAAGATCCTGGGACGGGATTCTATGTGAAAAAATCTTAAAAAATAAGAATCATTAAACAAATAATAAACAAAATAGAAAAAATACCTGAAAAGAGCTGAAAAATAATTATCATTACCATTTGCTGTCCTCTCATCCAGGCTCATGCAAGTATGCGACTTGCTCCCTTGGTGGATGGACTAATTGGGCGGATCTTTCATCTCCTGTCGGTGGACATTGTGCCTCCCAGCGCCGTACCAGGAGCTACAGTCTTACTTGGCAATATACTGAAAGACAAGACAATTGCAATGGTATTGGACCACAGTCCTGTCCGTCTCCTCAATCAGAAGATAGAGAAAAAGGTAAGAGTCAGAAGTTAACATAACATCTTTCAAGAACCAAATTATGGGAAAAATGCGTAAGGTTTGCGCAAATTATCAGAGAAATGAGAATCTTAAAATTATCGTGAAAACGTTTATGCCACACAATCCCAGTCATGGAAATGCAACTTTTTACTTTTAAGCTTTTTGTCAATTATTAACATTTTCAAATAAAAGAGTACAATACTACTCTTACACGTCAGTCCACCTAACCTCGGATTGCCAAAGGTGCTGAATTCTACCCTTCCCCTATGTCCTTTTTGTTTATATAACATACACACTACTTATTCAGTTCAATGAAGTGAAAAAGTTTTCCTATTTGATCTGACCTTTTGATCTATTATAGTTCGTAATAACTCAGCTCAGGGATGAAAAACCGTAGTCGTATGTGACATTTACCTTCAACTTCAACCATTATTTACAGTTTCTTTACAATTTGTGTAACTTTTTAAATCCTAGGAGTAACTAAGACAGAATTTATCCTTGTATCAAGAAGACCATTGATGAGAATAACGAAAAATAGCAATTAGGAGATTATTGGTTGAGCCAATTCCAAATTATTCAAGCTCATATCCTAAGGATGATATGGCAGACAATAAGGAGATTGCAAAGAGATCTTGGGAGTGAAAGGGTCGAAAAATTAAAACGAAGTTTATGACGATCGTTAATTACCTTAAATTGCTATTTTGGGTACATCAGCCAGATGTCCGTAAGAAGGCCACAAGTATACAATTATCGCTTCACTTCTCTGTACGGTTTAGTACTGGAAGCAACAACATCGATTGTTCGCTTTAAATATTTATCTAAGAGCAAGCTAGATCAGCAAAGGAAGTTTTTTAATGAAATATATCCTTCGTTATTAAGGCAGTATTCTTTCTCAGAAAGGCGACAAAGATTTTCGCAAAACAATCTCCATTTCTTCACTTAGTTGTCACTTGTCCTGCCCTTGGAAATCCGGTACACGGGAGCTGGGATCGAGATGATTGTCGAGCTAACCCACAAGTATGCAGGTCAGTTTGTCTCCTTCGATGTGACGTTGTCAATGGCTTCCAGCTGGAAGGCCCGTCCCAGCGCACATGTCAGGGAAACGGCCAGTGGTCCACGCCCTGGAATTCTTACTGTAAAGGTATGGTGCGATAATAGCGAGCATGAACGAGTTGGGTTAAAGGTCTGTGGAGACACCTACTGAATCACGTTGGCAGTTGTTTTCAGTCCTTTCGCTATCTAATAAATAAATTCCTAGTTGCCGTGGGTCTGTTTAGCTATAGATAACAAGTGACGTGGAAATGTGGTGAGAGCTAAAAAGTGGCTCATGAGGCGCAGGTAGATACGTCACTAATGCTTTTTTCAAGTTTCAAGTTTATTAAGTTTGCAGGAAAATCTTTGTACAATAATCACCTCCTGCAAATAGCGAGCTAATCTAGGCAGGCGGTGTTGAGGACATACAACACGAATTACAAAAACACGAATTATGCGAATTACTCGATTTTGCATACATTATTTGACAAAAGAGGGAAAAGGTGATAAAAAGTAAATTAATATATTATGTTTGAATTATAATTAAGATGCCTTTTTTATTTCAGAAATAAGAGTGCTAGTGTCAGCATAACTATCCAGACTTCCTAGAGTTGCAAATAGTAATGCTTGAATTTTCTTTTTGAATATGTGCTTCGGCAGACTTCGATAGCTTTCGGGAATACTGTTCCAAATTTTAGCCCCAACGATAGAAAAAGAGTTTTTATGATGATTAAGCCTAGAATAGTTAATATAGTAGTTACCAGAAGATGCTGATCGGGTATTATACTGATGTATGTCTTGTGTAGAAACAAAAAGATTGCAGATATTTTTAGGTGCAGAGTTAGTGGTTATATCAAGCATTAAGATTGATGAAAGTTTGAAGTAGAGCATTGTTATTGGCAGGATGTTAGATTGCGCGAAAAATGGAATCGCATGCGTTCTGAAAGGCAGAAAGTAGATCAAGCGAACAGCTCTCTTTTGGAGTATAAGAATTTTTTCTAAATAAGATTTGGAGGCTTGGCCCCAGGCAATGAGGCCATAAGATACATAGGGAGAAATTAAAGAATTGTTTTTAAGGGGACAAAGTGTCTTAGTCTCGAAATAATTCCAATATTTCTGCTGATTTTTAAAGCAATATAATTAATGTGATTTTTCCAAGATAAATGTTGGTCAATTATTACCCCTAGGTATTTAACATGATCCTTACGTTCAAGATCAAAAAACGTTTTAGAGCGGCTATCATAGGCCTTAATGCGGATGTTAAAATTAATGCGTTTTTGATATGGATGAAAAATTATATAGTTTGTTTTCTTAATATTTAACGAGAGTTTATTAGCGATTAACCAGCCGACAACCTTAAATAGTTCACAGTTGATGATAGTTTCGAGAGATTTTAGGTTTTTATCAGCATATAAAAGGTTAGTGTCATCAGCAAAGAGATAAAAAGTTAGTTTGTCAGAGGCCATGTAAATGTCATTTACATAAATAAGTAAAGAAGTAAGTAATGCTCTTACTGCATTTTGACGTATTCTGTGATCTATTGCATGTATCCGTCTGTCCTCTAATATATTATAGGTAAGAACCAATCAAAAGGCGTGTACATTTCAGCATATCACATAAATTGTTTTTGCTTCTGTTTTTTTTTTTTTCACCTGCTACAGTTTCTAGGCGTATGCTAATGAGCTACTAGCGTATGAGATTAGTTATTGGATAGATGACAGGAATTTCGATAATTTTCTTGTATTCTTTTTTCTTTTTCTTTTTCTTTTTTTTCAATTCGCAATTGCAAGACGTTCGACCTCCCACCATTATTTGTCCAAGTTCGATTTCTGTGTCTACTGATCTTGGCAAAGCAACCGCCAAAGTTTGCCTACCCAAAGCCGCCGCCAGCGACAACAGCGGTCAGCAGCCGACGATCACCACAAGCGTAGGTGCTGAAAGTAAAGACTTCATAGCTCAATCAACACCTCACCAAGTGGTGTATACTGCAAGAGATGCAGCAGGTTTGGAATCGAAATGCACACTTCAAATAACAGTATCAGGTCAGTGATTTTCTTGGGGTAGTTAACCCTAAGTAATTGTATAAAGTTTATCTTACCCGCTTGCAAAATGTTGGGTTCTCATTCAAGCGAACAATAATTTTTTTTAAAGAGAAAAATAAAAGAAAAGACTGGTTTTGTAGAGTTTGGGACACATAAATAGTGTATGAAGCTGATCGAAGGTGTCAACGAAATTAACGAAATTAAGAAAAAAGAAAGCAAGTGTCTAACAACAGTTTAGATGAAAAGTGTTCTGACATGCACCAACTTAATTTTTTGCCAGTACAACAAAGGAATTAGCAAAGTTATTATAGCCGTCATATCATAACACATGAGTTTACTTAATGTATAAAATGAGATGATTTTCTTTTTATCAATCGCCAATGATTCTTTCTTGTTGTTCTACCTTTTCTGAGTTACTGAAACGTCAATTCTGCGTCAAATGTTTTGCTTTCAAAGAAACAATTATTGTGACTCAAAAAGCCAGAGAGGTTCTGAAATGCGTTCTTGACGACCTCCTTTGTATGTTTTTTCGCCTACAGATACTGAGCGACCTCGTGTTGATTTTTGTCCGAGCGACATCAAAAGGGAAAGCGAAAATGCAGTGCGGGTCACGTGGGAGTATCCTAGATTCGAAGACAACCTTGACAAGCCCCCAGTTCAGCTTCTAATTTCCAGCAATAGAAATCCGGGAGTTGAGTTCCCGTGGGGTATATATCCAGTGGTTTACGAGGCCTCCGACAGGGCAGGAAATAAGGCTAAATGTGAATTTACAGTGGAAGTTGGCCGTAAGTTTTAATGTGAAAAAGTATACTTGGCACATTTTAGGTTAGCAAATTTGACAAAAGAGAGTTTGAGGGGTTAAGCAATGAGTAATAGCTGAGTTAGTACCATCCCTATGGATTAATAAAACCTCAGTATATTTATAAAAGTCATCGCCAATTTGACAGAAATCATGATTTAATGAAACTACAAAGTGATTGTGAATAAATTATTCCCAGCTCTAAAGAGGTAGCTTGCATTCGTTTTAAACAATTTAGCGAGAAATTCCAGGGTAATTAAGAAAAATTATGTGCAAGTGAACTAAAGATCTTATCTAGCGATGATTGTTGCTTTTTCTTTTTCATGAAGTCATTTATTTTCTAATGTACTTATATGTTTCTTGATTGTTAAATTCATTCATTATTTTCTTCTATAATGCCCCTATGTGAACTTATTCATCTCTCTTTTTTCCATTCCATTAGCGGTACCATGCAAGTATTATGATGCTCCGGCGTATGGAATACGAGCCTGCAACAAAAAGACAACGGATTCTAACGGTGTGAAATATGAAATGATTTGCGTGATTCAATGTAAACAGGGATACGGATTTTCAGATCCAACAACACCAAATACTTACTGGTGTCGATCGGATGGAGTGTGGACCAAGCTTTTTTATGGAATACAGCATATCCCAGTACCCGATGGTCAACGACCGTGGCCTGATTGCTCGCGTAAGTTATTATGATGATTAATCTATCTTAGCGTTTAAGAGGAAAGTAGGTAGAGATTATATAAAATGAAGGAGCGGAAAGGAAAGTCGGCTGATGGTACAGGCCTGGATGGTCAGCGGCTTTGGCCTGATTGGGCGCGTTAGTGTGCTGATTCATCTACCAGGGCGTTTAAGGCCTTTAGAGCTCAGGGCAGTGAGCAAACGGAACGAACAAGGGGCTGATGATCCAGGCCTTGATCGGGATTAGTTGGTTCCACATACGATATTCATACAATCTTTTAAACGGAAGTCGGCTGCTTTCAAGAAGTCCACAAGAAGACTAAGTTCATCCTTTGAATGAAAATAATAAAAATAGTATTTTGGCCTTCAAATTGGAGAATACATTTTCAGCTATTTAGAAAAAATGGAAGCGGTATTTCTCAGGAAAGAAACTACGGTATGAGCCCCCAGGTGAACAGATTGCTGTTTTCCGGCGTCTCAAACTGAATTGAAGTTACTCTAGAGATGATTTTAGCATTTCCCTGCCAACGCTCTGATTGTCCCTCTCTGTCCCCTCATTTCCTCCAGCTAAACCATAAGCACCTTAACATCACCTCGCCTTTTTCTCTTAGTCGCTGCTTTCATGAACAGAGGATAAAAAGACTGAATACTTGATGCATTACAGCGCGTGGCAAAGCCGAAACTTGAATTTTCAATAGATTGTTTTGGATTGTGGAACTTGTGCTTGAAAGACTTTATTCATTTCTCAGTCTTCATGAAAATTTTATAAGGGTAGTTGGTGAAAGACCTCGTTGGTTTGGTCATGGTTATATTTCACTTATTGTGACGAAGAGGTTTCATGTCATGTGGTAAGGACTCTAAAAGACTTCCTCTAACAGAGACAGTCCATAAACATTATTCTAGATAGGTTCCATTGTGATAATTACTTCCACGCTTCCTTTAATGACGACCTTTTATTGCAATTATTTTTCAACAGCCGAACAAAATGTGAACGCTGCCAAGAAAAACTTCACCTTCTACACTGGTTCTTGCGAAGATAACGAGCAGGAAGCATTGGCACGAATTCGCCTGAACTTCTTGAATGCCGTGCAAAATAGTCCCCTGGCTAACTACGCCTTGTGCGACGTCAGTCAAGGCCAGGACTGTGTGGTTGAAAACGTGAAAGTGTACTGCGGACAGAACTCCAGAAAGAGAAGCGTAGGTGGACAACGCGTCATCACATTTGATTTTGTAATCAAGGATATGAAGGCCTCGTCAGATCCGAAGGAAGAAGCCCCTAAGTATGTAGAAATTAGGTCTTTTTAGAAAATTTTCTGAATGAATGCTTCCTAAACATAAGAAGCTACCACGTTATGTTAGTCCTTCATGCTGTCCAAACCACGTATAAGGGTCAGTCTCCTATCAAATGATAAAATCTTTCCGTGAGCTACCGTTCCTGTCGAGCAATTTTAAATTTGTTTTCTATCCAAGTATTTACTCATTTGTTTCTTCTCTTTATGATCACTTCGAATGAAATGGAATACATGAAGGAAAATTTTCTCCACTCATCTCATTTTTCATTCATTACTGTGAAGATCACTTTCATATTCACATTACTGCCTTTTTTTATTTTTTATTTGATTTATTAATATATCTATTTGATTCGTCTGGTACCTCTTCATAGAATCGCTAAGATAATGAAAGATCTGGACAGTTTGGAATCGTATTTGAGGGGGGATTTTGCAAACGATGCACAGATGCCTGGAATGCAAATATCAGCAGCTGTCAGTTCAGCTGCTTGCCCAGCCGGTAAAGTGATTAAGGTTGTACCTGGTGATAGCTCAGAATTGGAGAGGACTGTCTGCAGTAAGTAACAAACCAAAAAGCATTTTCGTACTCATGCTATAAGCTACACGGGAAGTTTTGGGGTTTTGAAATATCCTTCTTTTAGCACTACGAGAAGCTATGCGGAAGATTTCAGATAATTGTAAAAGTATTTCATTTTTAGTTGGCAAGAGATTCATAAAACCTTAGATTCATTTAAAGCCTTATAAGCTTTCTATTGCCTGAAAAAAATGATCGTCCAGACAATTCCTTCAGCTCTTATCCAAATCAACATACCGCTATATTTTACGGCAATGGAGGGGATGAATGAACCTTAAATGACCTTGGTTGGGTACCCTACATTTCTTTCCGCTCTTTGTAGTCATATTACCTCTGTCATTAATGTTCTTATGTGATGGCAAACTTGTAGTCTTACGATTCAGATGCGTTTATTAACTAATATTTTAAAAATGCACCACAAACTCGAAGTACCTTGTAAGTTTAGGGAACTTTATCAGTAATATTGACAATGGTACTAGGACCGAGTGGAGTCCAATTCGGTCTGTAATCATAAGAGTGATTCACAGAATTTAATCACGAGTATGATTACAAACAGAATTGGACGACACGAAAGTAAAAAAAAGAAACCATCAGCGAACTCGGCGAAATGCGAGACAACAGCGCACGCACTTGACGCGTTCTGTCCACTTACACGAGCGTGACATGTTAACTGTCCCTTTAACTGTTCTATTACACTGTCCAGTACAAGCATGACGCGTAAACTACCCCATTAGTGCTCAAATCGCGTTTGATAATTTTGTTATAGTTTTGATTAAGTGTTTTATAACCTCAGTCGAGTGCAACGCCGGTACATTCTATAACAAGGACACCCACACTTGCCAGAACTGTGCGGAAGGATCCTTTCAAAATCGCACCGGACAATTTTCGTGTGAGCCGTGCCCAGCAGGAAGATGGAGCTTTGGAGGCCATTCCAAGAGTTTCATAGAATGTTTTGGTACGTGAATGATTTTATGATCAGATCAGGTTCACTTTGAATATTACAAATATTCAATATTGTTTTGCAATTTTATTGTCCTCTTCGGATAGTAAAAAGAGACAAAAATATATGGTAATTTCTACTAAGAAACGAAAAACCCCTCACTCTTTGATTGACTCTTCCAACGATAACATGAGAGTAGGTAATAGCTTGTGATAGTTTTTCAACTGCCTCTAGCCAGAAGGGTCTGGAAAGGGTTGCCTCTCGTAATTAATTAGAACTTTGGGCAGTTTCTTAAGACTGAATTATTCCAGAGACACAATAGGTATGGGGAACAATTCTATTCTGCTAATTGAAATTCTCTGACTATGAACAGAAGCCAACTAAGTATTTCCAAAGAATGCGCAGCAAAGAATATCTTTTATAGAAAAAAGCAATGTGTTCTTACGGTACCAGGGATTAAAATAGGCATTGCAGATTTTAAGGGTTAAACCTTCTGAATTACTTAGTACTGGTCACCTTAGCCAAGGGGAATAGTAATATCCTAAGTCAATTTAAAAAGTAGATTCAAAGAGAAACATTTTCACGACGGAGCCATGTCGGCCCGGCGAGACAATATATTTATTTTGAATTTGTGTACTTAGAAATCTGTGAGCCAGGAGAGTATGCAAAGAAAGAAAAATCTGGAGTTATCAACTGTCTGATGTGCCCAATTGGAACGTACCAGCCAAAATTTCGCGCCACGAAATGCGAACCCTGTCCAAGTGGAAAAACCACTGCACAGAAAGCTTCTACTTCCATAAATGATTGTCATTAACCCAGTGGTAACTATCTGTCGTCACTACTTGATATTACCACCATCACCATCACCATCACCATCACCATCACCATCACCATCAGCTATAGATTGAAATCTATTTTGAATTGAAGAAAAAATCATTACTAAATGCGAAACGAGGTAGGATAACTCGAACTAAAATCGTTCCCCTTCCCCCAGTCAACCCAATTACTCCAAATGATTTTCATTTCCCATGGAGGCTCGAAAAATCGGGAGTCCACTGTTCGTGTTCCACATGTTTTCTAGAATATGGCCATTAAATCTCATAAAAATGGAAGATTTTGGCTCTTTAGCGAACTTCTATCAAAAGAAAGATCAAGACAATTTCATTTCGAAAGATTATGGAAATTTGGAAGGCCTAAACGTTCTTAACATGACTTCGAGAGGAGCAATGAGTCAGTTTCAAACCACTGATAAAAAATTGTTCTCTTTATTTCAGGAAGTGAAGCTTTCCTGGTCCCAGGCGAATGAAAATTAGCATACGAGTGTAACTTTAAGCATCCAAGTGACGAAAATAATTTTCTATGTTTAGACCGTGGAAATTATTCAGTGCTGTAGAAGTAGAAAAATAGCTGTATATGGAATGAAAGGCAAACGGTTCCAATTATTTGCCAAGAAAATAAATAATAATGAAAGCCAAAATAGCACAGCGTTTATTCATTTTTGTATGTTAAAAAATAAGAGAGATGAAATGTTGTGAAATTTCGAACCGAAGCGGTGCATATTTTCATGGTTGATTTTTAACCTGGTGAGTAAACCAAGAGAATATAGATGTAAACCTATAACGTGCTTACAGTTCTTGGATGGATGAAAATATGACGAAGACCAAGATAATGCCTCCGAGAAAACGGCTTTGTTTTATGATTAGAAATTAAAGTATGATCTTATACGGAAATCTTTCTTTTTACCCAAAATCTGCAACTGCATTATTTGATGAAGATATGTCATCAACAAAGGACAAAACACAGCCGTGCTGTGACTGATTCTTGCAGGACATTGTATCACATCTTTAGCGAGAAGATTGCTCTCCCCAAGGTAAAGTGTAAACAAGGCACCAACGAGTATTGATATGGATACCATTTTCGATTCCATGCATGTTCCTAAAGGTTGTTGAAATAATTGTAGAATCGAATTTGAATGATGAGAAGTAACGCTTTCAAAAAAATTCCAAAAAGGATTCCAAGAATAGGCGCATTGCTTTTACAATTTGTTGTTTCCGGCATGTGTTAATACCTCTGAAATTACTGAGAGTGAAACGAACTGCAATAAAAAAAATTAGTGCTGCTGATTCAACGGCATTTTCCAAGGTGATGGTTACCGGCTCAGCTTTTTATTCAGAGATTTCACTTCTTCATGTGAGTATCATTACACCTGAAAGTCTGTTTTGAACTTACCTTAGCTGCATGGATCTGTGTTTGAGTAAGGAAGATGAAACATTCAGGTGAGAGCCGAACGAGACGTTGCTGCAATATTAAAATTGTCTTGACAGAAAAATAGGCAAGATTTCTATACAACCCCATTCTTAACTATGCATACAGTTCTTGGATAAAGGAAACAACAGAAAAAACAAAAGAGTTTGGAACGACAGCTTTGTATTAATAATCAGCTATTTGTTTCACTTCCTTGCTGTTATGGTGCTGCTCGCGCTGCATCTTCTTTTAAAATATATTATAGTTCCAAACCAGCCTTGAAAAAAAATATATTCCATTGACATGTTAAAATCATCTACACAACTAAACGTTCTAATTCTAAGGCATTCGGGAGCAAAATGCTTACTTTAATTCCGGATTAAAAATCTCCGAAGACCGCGCAGTCGAACAGCAATGTTTTCGTTGTGGATTCGTCTATTGTTACATCGGCAAAACGAACCCAGTGCCAAAACATTCCAGACAAGAATATTAAAAAAATCTGCTTTAGTGTAAACCTAGTCTTGAAGAGCAACATACTCTAAACATATTTTTGGGTAATATTTGTGGTGGTCTTTCAGAATCAATTTTTTTCTTGAATTCACTTCCTCTTCATTCATTTATTTATACTCTTCCCCACATCTCAGAAACCACCGGTGGCAGATTTTAACAATCTCATTTCCGCACTTTGTAGACCATCTGGTTTTCACATGAGAATAATTAAAAAACATTATTTTGATACAAACGTCTTTTCAAGTTTTTAAACCTTTTTTTTCATTCCCTTATTGCATGGAGTTTTCTTATCATTTTCAGTAGCTGTAATCACCCAAACCATTTGCAACTGCTAACATTATCTGTCTAGAGTTATCTGTTGGAAACACCGCACGGCCCCTTCTTCATACAGTTCTTAGATAAATATAAAATATAAATATATGACGAAACAACCTTAAGGACTACGACTTTGTTTTAGAATAATATGGGATGTGAGGAAATCTTACCAAGCTCTCTAAATATAAGCGCCGTTGAAACCATTTCGTAACTTCAGACTCGAACATTTCAAAATGTTACTGACAAGTGCACCTTGAAAAGAAAAATTGATCTTTCAGTCAAACGGGCATCAAGAAGTTTGAAGTGAGGGAACTAAGCGTACGAGGGTGAAAGGTTTCTCTTTGACGTTGGTCAGATTCTCTTCCCAATCAGTGCATCCGCAAACAAAGAACACAATGTTATGACAAAATCAGGTCAGCTCTTGACTCGCTAAGGCTCTAATCTTAAGACCAGATGTCGATTGATAGTCTTTTGGCTATTGAATATTTTTTATTACCGCCATTAATAATAAAGTTTTGAAGCATCTAGATACCTTTGGGAAAGCTTCAAACGAAATCCTTGTGTCTAATCGGTTCGGGGTTCTCCTGTAATTTTGTACAATGAAATAAAATAAATGAGAGTTTGGTTGGCTGTTGAATTGAAGCTGGTACAGATACTGAAATTTTCTTATTTTGCAGAATAATATACGGCCCAAGCTCACTTGGGAAGCTTATTTTGACTAGCCTTAGCTGATTATGGACGCGGGGCAGATGATGGAAAATCGATCCTTCCAGAAGAAATCCAAAACGTACTTTTCGATTCCTAGCTCTCCTAGAAGTTTAACACCGACACACCATTTCGAAATTCACCGTGGCGAATCAAAAGCAAGTTTATTTATCTGTTAGCCGACGTAGTACTTCACCTCTTTGTAAAAGTGCTTTTAAAGAAACATAATCCAGATATCCCGCGTCTAGTATTTAAAGGAAAATAAAAGTGAACACTACTCTTAACTCCTTAATCTTATCTGATGTTTTTTCGATACCAGCATGTTTTAAAAAACTCCAAGTTAATAAAATAATGCAGTGCCAAGAAATCTGCCGTAATCTACGAGTGGTTTCGTCAATGCAAGCTGCTTATAACAGCTCTTATGGATATAAACTGTTCGAACTTGGGTAGATAATGTTGGTAAGGTTTCTTTAATCATTTGATAAATTGATCTAAATCTTTTACTTATTCTCAGTTTTTCATTCCTTTGTTCGCTTTACTTTGCATGTTGCTTTTTTATTATTACTTCGTTATTCATGCTATTGCCGGATTTCTATTTAAGAGATGATCTGACAGAACTTGATTTTAAAGCTTCTCGCACATCCTAGATTCAGGAAAAATTTTCAGATTTATTAGCGGAAGAAACAGAAGAATTGATTCAAAGTAAAAGAAATTAGAAATGGCATTCATACAAATATTCATATAATGTTCAACAGTAAGAACATTTGTGTGTCTCTGTTATGTTGGTTGATAAAATCAAACCACCCCACGTGAATCAACCGCTGGAACCAAAAAATAGGATTTTTCTTAGGTCATAATACTTCCTACTTTTCCCTCACTTTTTTCTCTCCGGCAGAAACTGGGTCTTATGGTTCGCGACCACTATTTTCTCGCTTTGGTTCTCGTTCTGCATTTTCCTTCACGGGCCAGATCTGGACCAATCAAGGATCGAGATATTACTAGCTGGATAAGAAACGAACGTGGCAATCCGCCGGAAGAACTAGAAAAAAATAATCACACCCAGTAGTGAATATTTATTTGAGCGTGGCTTACAAACAAATTACTTAGCGCAGCAAGGAAAAATCAGTGACACCTGGATCCCTTGCTACACCCATTCGAAAATGGCACTGATGTTTTCATTTTCTTCAATGATGTGCAAAATATTAAAAAATTCCTTTCATACGCCAGATATCTTCCCTTACGCGCGATTGGGCTAAGCGCTTCACGTAACCAAATATGGCTTAGCTTAAACTTGGGAGTTTTCGGTCCTTCTCCCAAGGCGACATTCTCCGATTTGAAACCTAACGTTCTATGGGCGTTGAAAGTCTTCGTATAAAGCTTAATTCAAGATGACAGAGCGTTTTATTATTGCTGCAAGAAAAAAGGGGACAAGTTACAACTTACCACTTACACGGAAACAAAAAAAAAAAAATTCAAGGGCATTGAACGAAATTCCTTCTAATCGCTCTAAAATATGTTGCCCGTTGCGGCCACATTTCGAGTGAAAGATGTTTCCTGTATTCTTATTATCAAAAATGAATGAAATTTTGCCCTATTGATTGCGTATTCTTTTTGCTCTCCGTGGTCGGAATTCTGTTTTCTTTTTTCCAGGTTTTTTTTCTACGTTCAGGATCCGCGATTCGTTTCGGCTTCTTTGTTGATTTTACCTTTTGCTTTTAAATTTTTCGAGATTACCATCATCACGTTTTCGTCCCCATTATTTTCCGTCCATCGACTTTAGGTCAATTATAATCTCCACGGTTAGTCGGGACCTTCAGCAAACCATGACGACGACAGCTTAAGGTATGTAGAAAAACAAAAGATCTTATCAGCAGAATAAAAGCTTAGGGGGTGCGTTTTAAGCTTTTAATATCCTTGGCCGTCATTTGCAAAATAACAACGCCAAATCAACAAAAGTTGAGTAGTCTGCGGGTGGAAATCGTTATGTTAACAAGTCAATGCTGCTCACATACATTATGCTGAATTTGAGATGTAGCGCTGTAAGTGATGGTAAAAACATCGAGCCTTTGGCGAAATTTTAACCCAAAATTTAAATATGTCATGCCAATTTCTTATCGTTTGTTTTCCTTTCCAACCAGTAATTAAGTAGGAGTTCTTTTGCAACCACTATCGTAACAGTGTACTCTAAAATCAAATTAGCGTGTTGAAATGTGTGACAGATGGTTTTTTGACTGCAATACTCGCCGGCATATTTGTCACTGAAGATCTGTACCAGGTTCTCATCGACCTTCGCTCTAAAACAGTTTACTTAGTAAGTAAATGGTTTCAGCCCGGGGGGTAACATGTGATCTTGACTCTGATGATGACTTCCGCTCAGGTTGTCGAACTTCAGTCACCACTACCGACAACAGTCCTTTTCAGGACTACACTCACCCGGACGATCAAAGAGCAAGGCACTAGGGAAGCTATAAGCTTCGAGGAACAGATAATATCCAATGATAAATGTACGAGTATTTTGTGTTTTTCACGACGTACGAAGCCTACTTTTTGTAAACACATTCGAGGAACAAATAATATCCAATGATAAATGTACAAGTATTTTGCGTTTTTGGATGATATACGCGACGTAGTTATCGCTCGAGATGCATGTGTTACGTTTTGGAAACAAACTTAACGAGGAAGTTTTTTTAAACAC